CACACACACACACACACACACACACGCACGCACACACACACGCACAGATGCATTTATAAGCACTATACTTTTAAAGGTGTTCAGTAAATAAAAAAGCCAACTTATGCATCACGCTAGGATAATAAAGTCACAGCAAAAAACCAGGTCTTTGATGTAAATGCTAAACTTTGTTCCACAGTTTGAGGAAGTATGATACTAATGATGCACTGACTGTGGTGTCACACCTATGTTTGCACATTGAAGACAAGCAAATCTGCTTTTTAGTTTCTGACATTGGTGAAAAAAGATAAATGTACCTCCAGTAAGTACAGTATATTTTTATACTGATTGCATTATACTTCTGCCTCGCTGCGTTCCAATGGGATGTATTACTTTCAGCTGTATGGATGCAGTTCAGATTCGGATTAAAATGGCGCTTTTGTTGAGACCCTGCATGGACTGGGAAACATAATGAAGGGTTATGCATATTGCTATATGTCGTACTATTAGGCTCAGGGGGCCTCCCTTGTACATTTTCTTTGGGGCAACAGAAACTCCAGGAGGCATGCCTCTATGACTCTTAGGTGAGGCGTTTCAGGCATGCCACAGTGGGAGGAAATCCCACATTTTGGGAATGACTCAGTATCCCTCGCAGAAGCTGTAAAAATCGACTTGGGCATCTGTGCTTAGACTGCTGCCCCGGTGATGCAGACCTGCTGGATATGTGGCAGAAGATCCTGCCCGCTGTCACCAAGTGTCAACCAAGAGGGTTGTTGGAGTTTCTGTAATATTGTAGGTTCTTTACCTTACGATATAGAGTGCCATGAAACTGCTGCTTTAGCTTTTTCTACGCCTGTGCAGCAGAACGTAGACTACAGTCTGCTGTATGTGTCCAACGACATCAGAGTTGTTGATTCAATTTGTAATTTTGAGTTGAAGATGTTGTTATGGGTTTGTGTTAAGAGGGGTATAGATGTTACTGCCTTTACATTTACAGATTGTCGCTCTCTGACACTACATGCGTCACATTGTACTGATGCAATTAGCCAGCATTTGGAAAAACATAAAATACCCGTGAATGTCATTTAAAAAAGTT